GGGTTAGAGGGGACTGGGCGTGCAGAGGGTTAGAGGGGGCTGGGCGTGCAGAGGGTTAGAGGGGGCTGGGCATGCAGAGGGTTAGAGGTGGGGCTGGGCGTGGAGAGGGTTAGAGGGGGCTGGGCGTGCAGAGGGTTAGAGGGGTCTGGGCATGCAGAGGGTTAGAGGTGGGGCTGGGCGTGGAGAGGGTTAGAGGGGGCTGGGCGTGCAGAGGGTTAGAGGGGGCTGGGCGTGCAGAGGGTTAGAGGGGGTTGGGCGTGCAGAGGGTTAGAGGGGGCATTGGATTTTTAACAAAGTCTCTTGAGTGGGGTGGCGTTTGAGGCCATGACGTCCCTGGGCCGCACTCTTGGTTCGGGTCTGGCCTGGCTGTTTTAACCAGGTGGAAATGTTTGTGCGTCTCCCGAGTGGGCACGTCCGTCCTGCTGAGAGCACACTTGCCGTGGCCTCCACAGAGACCAAGCGACAGTCTTAAGAAGCGAGGGGAGACGCGTTCTCTTCAAAGGCTCGTAGGTTGTAGTCATGGTCTGAGGCTGCTTTTGGTAACAAGAACGTGCTGGTGGCTGGTAGAACACGCTCATGTGTTCAGTGCAGTCCTCACGTGGGAGGACCAGCCATACCCCGCTGGCGTGCTCCGCCCCCCTTTTCTGTGCGTCTTTGTGTTCTGGACTCATCGTCTGTGTTACTTTAGTAAGCAGTGAAAGGACAGACTCATGCCTCGTTGTCCCCACGCATGGGGCTTTGTCGTGAGGCCGCTGGTGCACAGTCGGACACAGGGATCCCGGGTGTGACCCTGTGGCGGTTACATGGTTATGTTTTCTAAGTTTAATGAATTGCTCGATATTCATCCAACTTGAACAAGTTGTTGCTAGTGCTTTGTTCCAGCTGCATAGATTGCCTGTAGGAGGCTTGCGTGTGTGTTTTTTGGGGTGTCCTTGGGGCCCGATAGGTGTTGCCATCTTCCCAAGCAGGCTGTGCAGAGGAGACGCCGCGGTGAGCAGTGGTTGTTGCTGCTGGGAGTGTTGGAGGTGACGGGAAGGATGTTGGTCTCCTTGGTTTGAGTGAACGTGCTTGCTGTGTACACGTTTTTCCTACTTGCGCGGTTCGTAGAAGTTCAGATAAACAGTGGTTGCTTGCTGAATGCAAACGTAGTTCCATGCTCAGACCCCAACCACCAGTCAACCCGTGCTTTCCAGAAGGGATGTGGGCCAAGCAGTGGAGCCCCAAGCTGCCCTCCTGGTGGAGAAGGGCAGGCAGGGCTCAGCCTCCAGAGCCGCGCACCCCTCCTGCGGGGAAGAGAAACTTGAACCCAAGCAGCTGTGACTTTGTCCAAGGTTGTCTGTGGGGTTGGCTGCGTGGGAGGGAGAACCTGAAACCCTCGGGTCCCTCCCTCCCTCCCTCCTTTCCTCCGTCCCTCTCTCCTTTCCTCCGTCCCTCCCTCCTTTCCTCCGTCCCTCCCTCCCTCCAAGAACAGCTGTACCAGACTCCTGGTCCTTCATCTTCCATTGACTCCCGAAAGACTCGCCAGTCACCGCTGATCTCTGTGTAGACAGTCGACCGTTATGTCCAGACAAAGGGCCTGAGCAGGAATCCACTGAAAACATGGAGAGGAGTGGGGAAGGGCCCTGGATGGGGCTCATCTTGGAAAGACACCGATAATCCTTGGGAAAGACATTTAGACGTATTTTCTTAGTTGAATGCATTTGTAATTTTTATTTTAACCTGATTTTCATGGAACTTCAGATTTCAGAAAGGTTGCAAGACCAGTGTGGAGAACACCCACCCGGCCTTGGCCTTCGTTGCCCAAATACCAACCTCCTGCCGTGTCGGCCGTGTCCCTCCTGCTCCCCGCCCCGCCCCGGGTCTCCATCTTTCACCCTCACGTTGTTTCTGAACGGTTGGGAGGAAGCAGCTGAGTGGTGTCCCCCTCACAGGTGTGTCTCCTAAAGGCAAGCATGTTTCTTTCGGAATCTCTGCAGTGCAGTCCCCGGAAGCAGGGAGTTAATGATCACACACGAGATATCTTTTTCGAATCTCACCAACTGGCCCAAACACGGTCTCTAGAAAAAGAAAGTCTGAGGTCGTGCGTGCACGTGGCCGTCTCTGTCATCTGGAGCTTCCTCTGTGTTGTCTCCCTGATGTTTTTGAGGGGTGGGGCTGCTGTTCTGTGGCGCTGGCCTCTCTGTGGTGTGTCCCGCGGTCTGGGCGTCTGCAGTCGCTCATGGTCGCACCAAGGACCTTATACCCTGAGGGCTGTGCTTTCCGCTGTGGGCACCGTACTGGGAGCACGTGCTACCCGCCTGCCCCGGGACGGCGATGCCCTCTTTGTTGGCATGGCCAGAACCCACCACTCCTGCAGCTGGTGCCTGTCAGCCAGCCAGAGTGGCCGCCAGTGGGCTCTGGCACATCTGAAACGTACCGTAGAAAATGCCCACCCTCCCCCTAGTGTTGTTTGCCGCAGTGATGAGCTCCTGGCCTGCCCTCCTCCGGCCACCTCGCATCCTACCTTGGCCGTTTCTTCTGGACCCTCAGCGTCCCACACAGTTCTGTGCAGGGCTAGGGTAGCTGGTCAAGGATGGGCTGAGCACCCCTAGGAAGGGTCCCAGCCTGGTCGTTCCCAGTCTGGGGGGCTGGTGTGCAGCTCATGGGGCAGAGGGCCCTGGGGTGCACGGGTGGGTGTGGGTTTGATGCCCTTCAGCTCCTCACCGTGCCTGGCTGGGGCATGTGCATTTGCAGACCCTGTTCTCCTGGTCATGGGCTGCTGGCTCGGGGGTCCTGGGCAGGCTGTGGTCTCTGCAGTGGCTTGTGCCGAGTTCCTTGTGCTGCTGTGACAGTCGTTGATGATGGGCAGGCTGTGGTCTCTGCAGTGGCCTGTGTCAAGGGCCTTGTGCTGCTGTGACAGTCCCTGATGATGGGCAGGCTGTGGTCTCTGCAGCGGCTGTGCTGAGATCCTTGTGCTGCTGTGACAGTCCCTGATTCCCTGATGATTCCTGAAGGGCAGGTGATTCATAAAGACAGAAACTTCTCAGAGTTCTAGAGGCTGAAAGTCTCAGACCAAGGCCTGGGCAAGTTTGGGGTCTGGTGAGGGCCCGAGGTTCCCTGCCGTGTCCTCGCGTGGAGGGTGGGAGGGTGGGAGGGTGAGAGAGTGGGAGGGTGGCAGGGTGAGAGAGTTCTACTGCTGAGGGCTGGGTGTAGGGACTGTCATCCTTTCCATGCCTCACCACCTCCTACAGACCCCACCTCCTACAGACCCTGCCTCCTAACACCGTCACATGGGCCATTGGGCCTCAACTCGCCAGGGAGCCTCAAGTCCTCCTCCACCCCAGCCCCCTTGCTCGTGCCCTCGAGCAGCTGCTAGGATCTACCCCCGGTTCCAAGCCCTGGGCCCAGCCCCTGGAGGGGTCACCAGCCCAGCCTTCTTGAAAGATGCAGGAGTTGGGGGTTCATTTGCCTGGAGAGCCCGTGGGCGGCGTCCTCGGCAGGGACAGTGGGAAATCCTCTGTGTCCCTCAGAAACGGCGGATTGAGTAGCAAGGCGAGGAGGTGCAGCCTTGACTTTTGAAAGTGAGAATTTTGCCCACATTTGGCTGAATGAGAGATTTTCAATGCCAGAGGGAGGTGCCCTTGCCCTGGGCTGAACAGCTCACTTGCTGAGGCTTTCAGGGGCTTTGTCTTAAATGATAATGTGTGTGGGGGCTAGTGTGTGCCCTGGGGCTAGCGTGTGCCCTGGGGCTAGTGTGTGCCCTGGGGCTAGCGTGTACATTGGGGCTAGCGTGTGCCCTGGGGATAGCGTGTGCGCTGGGGCTAGCGTGTGCCCTGGGGCTAGCGTGTGCATTGGGGGCTAGCGTGTGCATTGGGGCTAGCGTGTGCCCTGGGGCTAGCGTGTGCGCTGGGGCTAGCGTGTGCCCTGGGGCTAGCGTGTGCATTGGGGGGCTAGCGTGTGCCCTGGGGCTAGCGTGTGCCCTGGGGCTAGCGTGTGCATTGGGGGCTAACGTGTGCCCTGGGGCTAGCGTGTGCATTGGGGGCGTGTGCCCTGGGGCTAGCGTGTGCCGGGGGCTAACGTGTGCCCTGGGGCTAGCGTGTGTCCTGGGGCTAGCGTGTGCCCTGGGGCTAGCGTGTGTCTTGGGGCTAGCGTGTGTCCTGGGGCTAACGTGTGTCCCGGGGCTAGCGTGTGCCCTGGGGCTAGTGTGTACATTAGGGCTAGCATGTGTCCTGGGGCTAGCGTGTGTCCTGGGACTAGTATGTACTCTGGGGCTAGCGTGTGCATTGGGGCTAGTGTATGCCCGGGGACTAGCATGTGCCCTGGGGCTAGCGTGTGTCCTGGGACTAGCGTGCACCCTGGGAAATGCCCCTTTGTTTGGAACACAGATATGTGGAAGGAAGGGGTAGTGTCACCCTTAGCCACGGCTTGGATGTGACAGCTGGTGGGGACCAGGGCCCTCCATGCAGGATCTGCGGTTGGCCTTCTGTGCCTGCTTTTAGTTCCTTCTTTGCTGACTCTGAACTGTTTTTCCCTCACCAGGAGATGGAAATCCAAGAGAAAACAGCCCATTCCTCAACAATGTTGAGGCGGAACAGGAGACTTTCTTTGAAGGGAAGAACATGGCACTTTTCGAGGTAACTTATTAGAAGAAGGTGCCAGGGCCGTTGCTTTGGTGTGGAAAAGTAAAGGAGCCCCTGGGGGCCCCCAGGCCAGGGCCTCCCACAGGACTGGACACCACGTGGAAGGAACTGGGGCCTCCCTGTCCCGAAGGCCATGGAGGGGACCCAGTCCCGCACCTGAGCTGGGATGTGGTCCTCGACGGGCGCCTTCTGGGGTCCTTCCTGGATCGAGGTTGTTCCAGCCCCACGGGAACCCCTCAGAGCTGCTGAGTGCTGGCCATCCCGGGGTCCCTGCCATGGGTGGGTGGTCCCACTCAGTGAGGCCTGGAGCCCCGGCCTCGGACTCAGACCTCCGCACAGGTGTCCAGGCCTCTCTGGCTGGCTTCAGACCCAGGGGCGCAGGACCGGGCAAGAGCCTGAGCTCCACAACCTGAACATGGGGAGGCAGCCCGGGGGCCTGCGGCGGGGTGAGGGCCGCCTGTGACCCATGTCCACGCCGCACAGGAGGAGATGGACAGCAACCCCATGGTGTCCTCACTGCTCAACAAGCTGGCCAACTACACCAACCTGAGCCAGGGCGTGGTGGAGCATGAGGAGGACGAGGAGAGCCGGCGGCGCGAGGCCAAGGTACTGCTGCCCTGCCCATGCCCGGCCAGTCCCCACTCTGTGTGTCCTGGTAGGTCAGATCACACCGGCAAAGCAGTTGCTTGTCAGAAGAGTTGCCCTAAGCAATAGTGTCGTGGCCCCGTCCAGCCCTTTGTTCCTGGGAGGACTCGATGGTGCCTGCCCTGCAGCTCCGGTCCAGCCCTCTTCCCTCTCCACTGTCCGGGAAGCATGACATCCCCCACACAGCTGGGCGGCCGGGCTCCCTGTCGAGAAACGAGCTTGGGCTGTTTTGTTCGTTCTGCGGGAGTGGCCCTGTCCGCTGCTGTGGAGAGAAGTCTGAATGGTTCTGAGAGGCCGGGACATGGCCCCTTTCAGAGGGTGCTGTGGCCTCCGAGCTCCCGGGGGGCCACCCTCCTTTTCGTTTCCTGTCCAGGACACTTAGCCTGGTGGCGTTTTCCCTGCAGTTTTATTCCTTGAGGATTTGTTTCCAGGAATCCGTCCTAGGAAACGAGGGGGATGCAGTGGGGATTCCGTAGAACGTTTTCCCCGGGGTGGTTTCTGTGGGCGACGAGGTGTGGAAACCCCTTGAGCGTCCTCAGGAGGGTTCTGCCGTCCCCTGCGCAGACGGGTTGCCTGAGAACCACCCTGAGTCCTGACGCCCTGAAGTGACGCTCACAGGCGAGAGAGACCCTGGACCCATGTTGGGAAAAGTCTCATGGGCGGATGAAACAAACGCTGTCCTCGCTGTGGGGGTGCGACAGGTGGCTCAGTTTCTTCTCAACTCCCTCTGCTGTTAAAATCTTCCAAATACGTGTGCATTGCTTTAGAATCATAAGATACAAAAAACAAACAAAAAATCCACCGAAGGAAACCGTGCAGTGCAGGCTCCGCTGTGAAGCCAGGCGACGTCCTCCCCCAGTCTTGACACAAAATTGTCATTTCCCGAGTCAGCCCTGAGCCTGTGCCCCGCTCCTTCGGCAGACAGCTAAGAGCATGCATTGGCTTTTTAGGATGATTTTTAAATTCCCTTATTATTTTCCCTAACTTTCTAACTCTAGAAATACTCTCAGGAGACCCCTGTCTTCTCAGGAGGGAGGGTTTTGTGGCACCAGGTAGGGGCCAGTGAGCAGGAAGGAAGGAGGTGCTGAACCGGGTGCCCACCAGGTCCAGGGAGGGTGGCCCCCCTCCTCTGACCTCCACCAAGTGGGGCGTCCCTCGGCTGGCCCCCTGCCCTCCCCTGCATCTGCCTAGCCTGGGCTCTGTGCTTTGCGTCGGCGCCAGCCCTGAGCGCCTCCTGCCAGCGTCCAGTGTTCAGCTGACCTGGGTCCCACACAGCGATGGGGAAGTCAGGCTCCTGAAGATTTCTCTTTCCTTCCTTTTACTGTAAACACAGTGGAATTAATACTGCATTTCCAGGATACCTGAAGACACTTGGTTTTGTTTTTGAGAAGCGTCACTCTGGGGTTGAAGTAACCAGAGACAAGTGAGGGACGTGACTGTGTGGCCACCTCGGGGTGGGGCCTGGCCTGACAAGGGCCCTCAGCCCTGGCTGTTGTCCCAGGACAGGGCAGCGGCCTCTTCGGAAGCTGCATCTCTGGACCTCTTTGTGGTTCCCCTGCTGGGCCCTTCCCGGCTGGGGGAGCCTGTGGCCACCCCGCCTGTCCATAGCTCGGCCAACCCTTGGGGTGGGGCCATCACTGCTGCACGTGGACGCTGCAGAATTGGGTGTTGCCATGCCGGGCTCAGCACTCAGCACCTCTCTGGGGTTTCATGCAGCCTGGGCGCTACCTTGAGGCCTCATGGGCTCAGGCTGGTGCCCTGGCACCAAAACTCCGGACGGACAGGCCTTCCCTGTCTGTCCGCCTGCGTGCTGGAGTTTGTGTCTAGGGAGATGTTGGCCTTCTCCAGGGAGCAGGTGCCTTCCCACGGGCCTGGTCCGAGTGCTCCGGGAACCGGCTTCAGTTCCAGCTCAGCTGGGCTCAGGCACCACTGACCTGGCCACCCAGCTCCAACCCCTGTGCCTGGTGGAGCCCAGCCTGCCATGAGGTGCCCATAGAGAGCACACCCCAGCTTCTCTCACCCTACTTGGTACTGAGACATGAGGGAAATGTCCTGGCAGGTGCGTTTGTTGACGGCACACTGTGGGCCAGGGTCCAGGAGGTTCCCACCTGGAGGGCTCTCCCCGGCCCTCCCTGGCAACCCTACCCCCAGGCCGGTGGCTCTCAGGCCTCTGTCCCTCGGGGTCAACATGCAGGTGCTCGAGGCTGGTGCAGCCTGCGTTTCAGTCGGGGAGGGACCAGGGCCTGTGACCCCAGCAGGCCTGTTGTGTGATGATGGCAGGTTTCAGTTGGCAGTGAATCCTTCAGCTCCCTTTGGGGACTGTGCCTCGGCCCTTGGGGTGGAAGGGCAGGGGCCGCCCCTTGTCCTCTTTGGCCAGGCTCAGAGGCTCATCCCCAGCAGACCTGCTCCCATTAAAAGGGCCAGGCATCTCCAGCCTCCCGCGCCTGAAATTGGGTCGGGTTGGGCCTTATAAGTTGCCTTTTAGGCACAAACCGAGAGGCTAAGGCCAGCCATGCCCTTTCGTGAGGAGTCGGGATCCCCCGCCTTTGGCAGAGAATCAGCTTCTGACTCGCCTGTCATGGGGCCGTGGGATCTGAGGCTGAGCCTGGAGGGCAGGGTCCCCTGTGTGGACGGCGTCTCTGCCTGGAGCTCTGCCTGTCGGCTCCTGCGTTAGCTGAAGCCTTGCTGTGAAGTCACAGCAACAATTGTCCCCGGAGCCTTGCTGTCACCCCTGTCCTGGGTTCTCAGTTTTATCCCATGAAAATGTCCCAAAGCCGGTTCTCCTCCATCTCCCACCACGTCTGTCGTTTGCACCAAGAACAAGGCGTACTCAGATTTGGAGGGTCCAGCAGCGGCCCCCGGCCCCGTCACCCTCTCCTCTCCAGGGCCCCTGTCACAAGCAAGTTGCTCACCTGTTGCTCCCCACCTAGGGCTCAGGGAACCAAGTGCATCCCCCAGGCTCTCAGAGCCAGAGCTTCCCATGCTCCTGGCTGCTCTCTTAAATTATTTTCTCCAGGGTCCTAAAGTCATTGGAGCCCTAGATCTCTGCTGAGCCCCGTACTCGGCCTGTCTGTGGGAGGCGTTCCGGCACAATGACCCCGGAAGCCACCCTGTTTGCTTTTGTGGTGTGGTGCTAAAGGTGCTCTCCCTGGGAGCTGTCCATCACTTGGTCCCCTGTTCCCATCCGGCAGCCGGCCCCATCCCCATGCCTGGGCTGTGTGAACCCCAGGATTGAACCCCCTCCTCAGCCTCCTCACGGAGCCTGTTCTGATCTGCACTGTGGCCGTTGTTCACAGGAAATGTCTTCAAAGAAAACCTTCCCCGTTTTCTACATTGACCTTGAGATGTTTTCCTGTTAAAACATCACCTTGTGCTGGGGCCAGCCGTGCTCCAGGTCCGAGCCATGTGCCCCTGCTCATGGCGGGAGTGGGGCTGAGCAGGCAATGGGGACAGAGCTGAAACTTCTGCCCCAGCCTGGCCGGTCCCGAGCGGGGCTGGGGGGCTGCCTCGCAGGCACTGACCTGCTTCTGGCTGTGCTGCTGGTCCTTGCCCGTGCGGGTTTCTTCAGGGCCACGGGGTGTGTCCCCCTCTTTGGCACAGGTGTCTGAAGCGGGCTGCCTGCTCCATGCTGGGGCAGGCGGGGTGGCCCCAGGGTGGATATCTGAACCTTTGCTGTTATATTGTGGTGACCTGGGCCAGTGCTGAGCTGTGGATTTTATTTTTTTAAATTTAATTTTATTTTTTTTAGCTTTATGGGCAGCAGCCGTTTCTTCCCTCCGCCAGCTCTGCTTCCATTCCTGAAGCCTCAGGCTCTCCCCGGGTGTCAGGTCTGAGGCCCTGATCCATCCAGGGAATGCAGCTGGGGGCCCTCCTGTTCTCCCTCTAGTTTTTCCCATGACTTTTCCAGTGTAACAGGTTCCGCTCCGTCGGGGAGGCACAGCAGAGCAGCTGCATCTTGGTTCTCTGCCAACCATGCGGTTCTGCTCCCCTCCCCTAAGCCCCCGCCCCCGGGATGGTCAGGGTCCCACCCTGGGCCTCTCTCTGAGCCTCCGTCTGTTCCGGGACGGACTCCTGTCCCCTCCAGTCCCCTTCTGCCCCTTCCTGCCCCCACGGCCGCTTTGCCTGCCCGGGGCCTGAGTGCAGCCTGGGGAGGGGGCTGCCTTCGGGTGTGGGGTCCGAGCCCCCGGCACACGCTGTGTTCCGTCGCAGGCTCCGCGCATGGGCACCTTCATTGGCGTCTACCTGCCGTGCCTGCAGAACATCCTGGGTGTCATCCTCTTCCTGCGCCTGACGTGGATCGTGGGGGTGGCTGGTGTCCTGGAGTCCTTCCTCATCGTGGCCATGTGCTGCACCTGCGTGAGTCTCCCCGGCCAGTGTGGCTGTGCCTTCAGGCGGGGGCAGCCGGACAGTAGGGCCCTCCCCAGACACCCGTGTAGAGGTTGTTCAGCGCCGTCCCCTCCACGAGAGCTGGGGCAGCTGCGGGGATGAGACACCGCCCTGGCCGGGGTTAGCGCTGGCGTGTTGATTGGCGCTGGCACCTCATTTACCCGTGTCTGCGGAAAGGCATCTCGGCCGGTGGTGGGTGTTGTGGGGTGGCCTCAGGGGGCTGAGGCTTCCAAGGGAAGGGACACCCTGTGTTTTGACGACATCACCTCCAGTTGGGAAGGACCTTGGGTACTTTCAGGTGTCCTTGTCATAGGGAAAGGGGTGGGAACCAGGACACTGCATGCCTGGTGCCCGGGAGCCTCCGGGTCCTGGTTTCCCAGCCACTCCATTGAGATGGAGAGCCCTGGAGCTGGGGGCTGACTTTCGGCGGGAGCCAGGCCATAGACCGCGCCTTGGGAGTGTTGCGATGCCGGCAGGCTCTTGGAAAGCTCTCCTCAGATGGCCGCCTGTCTTTCTGCAGACAATGCTGACCGCCATTTCCATGAGTGCGATTGCTACCAACGGCGTGGTGCCAGGTAAGGGGTGCCTGAGTCCTGTTAGAGGAGTCTGTGTGTTTCCACACGGTAACTGGGAGGCGGCCGCTCCGCGAGGCAGGGCCAGGGGCTGCCTGGGGGTCACTGCCAGGCCTTCTGCATGTTCTCCACTGGCTCCTCTGGCGTTTGAGCTGTGAGGTCACGGCTGTTTGGTTTTCTTCCCCATTTTGCTGCATGGTGACTGTCTCTTGCCAGGGTAGGCAGTGCCCACCAGGCAGCGGGCTTGGGAGGGGGAGGCACGGGCGATTCCAGTGACGCCTGTAGCCTGGCATGTGCCATAGGCTGAGTTCTTGGAACCTGTATCTCACGAGGGAAGGTGAAGACAAAACGCTGCCCTGACCTTGTTAATTAGTAATAAATTAATTACAATACGTAATAACTAGTGAACTGAGATGATGTTCATTAGCAATAAATTAATTACAATACGTAATAACTAGTGAACTGAGATGTTAAT